CAGACTGACGCGGTTGTCAGGATTGTTCTCTAAAATAAGAAGGACGCATGCGCATTGGCCCCGCCCAGAGGGGGCGGGGCGGTAAACACACTGAGGTGGGGACGTGAGTGAAGGGTGGTGGCTAGCGTAGGGAGTGGGCGGAGCTTACAGACCGAATCTGCGCATGTGCACAAAGAGTTTCTTCTTGTTAGTTTCCGCAGCTTCTTTTTTCAGTTTATTTGTCTCAATCAGATTAGCCTAGTACATGGCCCCTAGTTTAACTAATGTTTATGGATTGATTGATTGGTTGATAGATTGAACTGACAAGGCTAAAGTGTGAATTAGTTTGGGGCAGGGCCTGGCAGACAATAGAAAAGACTAGGAAAACGCTCTCTTGGATGACTGCCAGCTAAAATGCCCTTGGAACTGACATTTTCCTTGAGGAGAGTTGTCTCAGTCCTAGAGAAGAATCAGATCTTAAATTAAACTAGGGAGCAGTCATCATTGATGGGGTGCTTGGATCCCAATTTCTCCCTGGTCTCAGAAACACTATCCCTGGCAGTTTCCCTCCAGCCCAAAGACCCTATCTCTGGCAGTGACTCAAGAGGGAGTCCAGTGAGGCAAACTCTCTCTCCCAGTTACAAGAACAAGCTGACCTCTGTAGAATTTCCTTTGTATGAACAGTACTATCTTGTACCAGCAAACCTATCATGTACTGATGCCCATAGTTACCATATACAATCCAGAGGTCAAGCTATAGACATCAACTCCTGAAACTATCTTGTTACAGACATAACAGACCAAAATACACCCTTTAGGAACCCTCTCTCCCTGCCTCCCCTCGGTTTCCAGTAGTGAATGATTGAGTTGTATGTTATCACCTAATTAGCATACTTGCCACATAATCCACTACTTTTCTTGTATAAGCTTTAGCGTCATTCTTGTTAGGGTGCAAGTTTCCTAAGGAGCTCTGCCCCCCATGGTAGAATTCCTTAGGGACCTTTGCCTGCTGTATAGCATAACAATAAATCTTTTTCACTTTGACTCAAAGTATGCTTGGGTCTGTGAATTCATTCCCGACAACACTACTGAACCCAGTACTGAACTGAAAAACATCCCTACCCATAGCAGCAGCAGCTCGTTTTAGCTCTGGTAACTAGAAAAGGACATTTTTTCATTAAATCAATCTTTGGAACGGAGTATGAACAAAGTCTGCACACTTCTTGAATTGTGTGTCCTAAGCAATTTGTATTAAATGAAAAAGCTGAGAACCAAAGGGAGAGATTCCAAAGGTTGGATGGAGCCTGCCTAGCATTACCACCATGCCTACGAGGAGCAAAGAGAAGACTGAGCTGTGGCAGAGAAGGGAGATATTGAGGACACTCTGGCTCTACAGGCAATTCAGCTCAGAAGACCCAGCCAGGGGTGGGGAACCTGTGGCCTTCTAGATCCTCAAGTACTACCCTTTGACTGAATCCAAACTTCACAGAACAAATCCCCTTAATAAAAGAATTTGTTCTCTAAAAGTTGGACACATGTGGCCTCTAGGCCAAAGGTTCCCCACCCCTCGCCTAGGCTGAGGTAAGTAGCCAGAAAAGGCCAGTTGTTTCTCCATTGTTCTCTCTAGATACTTATCTATCCACAATCTGCTATTTTGTTACCCAAACAATTCCAGTAAGATTTGCCTTTGACACAAAGAGGCCAGGAGTTAACTAGAGACAGATTTAAATGTAAGGTTAGGCAGAGTGCTCAATCTTTAATTAGGTGTCAAGAACAGTCAGCATTTATTAAGGGATTAACACCTGCCTGAGAATACAAATAAAACAGATAGTCCCTTCCCTCAAGGAATTCACATTTTTTTAAAAAAAATAATACTTTATTTTCTTCAATTATAGCATTCCCAATATAAAAACAATTTTTAACATTCTTTTTTTTTTAAAGTTTTGAGTTCTAGTTCTATACCTTCCTCCCTCCCCTCCACCCTCCTGCAATCTGATATAGGTTATACATGTGCAGTCATGTAAAACATTTTCATATTAGCCATTTTGTGCAAGAAGGCTTAGAAAGAAAGGGGAGGGAGAAAGAAAAAAGAAAAATAGTACGCTTCAGTCAATATGCAGACATCAATTCTTTTTTTCTCCATTTAATAGTATTTTTTTTCCCAACTACATGTAAAGATAATTTTCAATATTCACTTTTATAAGATTTTGAGTTCCAAATTCTTTTCTTCCTCCCTATCTCCCCTCTCCCTCTCCCCAACACAGCAAGCAATCTGATATAGGCTATACAGGTGTTGCGGTTTGGGTGCTGGGAACCCTGAAATGTAAGGGTACAGGGTGAATCTGCCTGGAAAGAATTTGAGTCCTCAAGCCTTCTTTCAGTCAAGGGAGCAGTATATTCTAACTCCAATAGGAAAGGGCAGAGTTCCTAGTGAATCTGCAACTTAATGGGGATGAGACTGATATTTATGTACAAAAAAAGACAGTGAGAAGATCTGGATGGGATTAAGGATTGATAAATAGCCTGAGCTGGGCCAGATATAGACAATGAAAGGAATTAAATGGTCTAGGGTGGATCAGAGAGCCATAGTGAAAGGGCTGTTAAAAGGACTATTGAGTATCTAGGTGGTCTGGGATGGGCCTGATGGGGGGGGGCGCCCAGGGACTAGATTGTATGGGAAAATCCAGGGACTGGATTCTTTCAAAGACATAGTCTTTTCCTTTTAGGGGTCCAACTCCCATCACCCCTCACATGTACAATCATATTAAACTTATTTCCACATTAGTCATGTTGTGAAAGAAGAATCAGAACAAAAGGGGAAAACCATGAGAAAGGAAAAAAAAAGAAAAAAAAGAGAAAATAGTATGCTTTGATCTGCATTCAGACTCCATAGTTCTTTCTCTGGATGCCAATAGCATTCTTCATCGTGAGTAATTTGTGATTATCTTGGATCATTGTATTGCTGAGAATAGCCAAGTTATTCCTAGCTCTTCATCATATAATATTGTTGTTACTGTGCACAATGTTCTCCTGGTTCTGCTCACTTTGATCTGTATTCAGGAACTTACATTCTAACAGGGGAAGACAATATGCAAAAAGGAGCTGAAAGACATGGGGATGGAAAACATACAGGGTGGGTTCTATGGAAATAAGTCGGCAGGACTGCCCAGGGAGGGATGAAGACACCTTTGGCCTGGATCTCCTCTTTCCATTAGAAGTTCTAGGAGGAACCAATCAACCTGTCCACTTCTTAAACTTAACCTGTCCAAAACAGAACTCAGTATCTTTCCCCCTAAGCCCTCCCCAGGTCCCACCTTCCCTATTACTGTACAGAGCAATACCATCCTCCACGTTCCTCAGGCTTGAGAGAAATGATTATTAATAACCAATGATTTGGAGAGATCCAGAGTTCCTCCCTTTCTCTATAGTCCATAGACTAGATAGACATAATACAAGTTCATTAGAATAAATCCAGCCCCTAATTATAATATTCATTCTCTCATTAATTGTTAACCAGTCAGAGTTATTGCCATCCTCAGCACACCTCTCTTCCAAGGGCATATAAGCTGTAAGCCCACCACCATGAGGGGTCTTTGGCATTTGAGAGTGCCACTAACTTTTTTATTAAAATGCTGGCATTGTTAATAAAATGGCTAATTACTGTGAAATTATGTCTCTTGAATTTTTTAAATGTCACAGGCTCAAAATTTAGGATTCATCCTGGACTCCTCACTATCTCTTACCTCCCACATCCAAGCTGTTGCAAAGGTCTTTGGATTTCACTTCTGCAACATCTCTTGTATACACCACCCTTCTCCCCTCTGACATTGCCAACACTCTAGTATAAGTCCTCATCACTTCACACCTGAGCTGATGAAATAGCTTGCTGGAGGGCATGTCTGCCGCAAATGCCGTCCCACTCCAATCCGTCCTCTGTTCACCCACTAAAGTGATTTTCCTAAAGTACAAGTCTGACCCTTTCATTCTTCTACTCTGGTTCCCAATGATCTTCAGGATCAAATACAAAATCCTGTTTGGCATTCAAAGTAATTCATAATCTTCTCCCCCACCCCCACCTTTCCAATCTTCTTACACATTACTCCTCTACTCCTCACCACGTACTCTTCAATCCAGTAACACTGGCCTCCTGGCTGTTCCAGGAACAAGATACTCTACCACTCAGCTCCAGGCATTTTCACTGGCCGAGAATGCCCTATGCCTAGAACGCTCTGCCTCCCCATCTCTGCCTACTGGCTTTCCTGGTTTAAGTCCCTACTAAAACCCTTCCTTCTACCCTCTTAATTCTAATACCTTCTCTCTTTTAATTCCTATTTTTCTTACATATAGCTCATTTGTACATATTTGATTTGTTTATTGTCTCCGATTAGATTGTGAGGTCCTTGAGGACAAGGACTGAGTTTTTTGCTTCTTTTTGTGTTGCAAAGCTTAGCACAGTGCCCAGCACACAATAGGTACCTAATTAATGTTTATTGATTGATTGAAACTGAGGGAAACAGAAGTTAAGTGATTTGCCCAAAGTCAGAAGCTAGTAAGTCTGAGGCTGGATTTGAACTTGGATGGTTAAAACCCTTATTCAGGGTTATGTGGTTACATGGCTAGTATCAGAGGCAGGATTAGTCCTGCTTTTTCTGACCAGCACCCTCTCTTTCTCCACAAAGCCATTGCCATAAGTTTGATTCAGCTTTAATGACAAGGATGTAAATTACAATTTTATGAGAATAAATTAAATTGTCTACATATAACTATTTAGACAGATAAATGTTAATGTTTTCTGTTACAGCATATGATAATATTTGTGTGTATGATATTTTGATCATTCACTGCTAGCTCTTAAATCCAGAGGCTTACTATATTTCCGGGTAAAACTTATGCATTACTTAATTTAAATTTATCTATAAACCTGAAAGTCTAAAATAATGTTTCCACAAAAATTGACTTTTATGAGAAAAGTAAACAACTTCTGTTTTATAACAAGAGGCTCAGAAATTTTAAAAAAAGATAAAACTTTTCCCAAGTTATGTACATTTGTTTAATTTTTTTTTTAAAAAGTAACAAATCCAACAACACGCTTTATTATGGTTGTGAAGATATCGTTTTCTGTAGTATGTCACTTCCGAAAACTAGACTGTTTCTTTTACATACTTTCATGAAGGAAGCCATTAATACATGTATGAATTCTTCTCATAAATATTTGCTAGAGACAGAAAAGTAATACGCACAGTGTCATGGTGTGTCATACTGTTCTAGTTCAGTTTTTTTTCCTTCCATCATTTCACAGTGGACAAGTTTTGCAGAATTGGCTTGAAGGGCCCATACTCCCCCTCCTTAGGCAAAACCAACTGTCTTAACTCCTTATTGGGAAACAAGTAGAAAGATGTAGTCCGTGGCATAATGAAGCAGTGAACAAGAATGAGGTGTTTCCTGTGTTGAGCTTGACAAAATTTTGTCCAATACATTATAGTTATGGAGCAAATGGGTTGGCATGAATGGTAATATCTTTAATGTGTACATCATTAAGAGGCCGGAAAGTCTTTTCATTTACTGGCAGCTTCTCTAGTTCATCCAAAGTCTCTAGGCCATCTATTACCCTAAAAGAAAATAGAACACTCATGAAAATTCTTTTGGAATGATAAATTCATGGTTTTTTAATTCCTCTAACAATTATGATTCCTATTATAATTCATGTGGCAGTTAGTCACATCATGCCTTGTGATAGCTCATCTACTACTGTAATAAACTGCTGCTGAGGTTTTTTAAAAAATTGATTTCAACTTGTTATTGTTTAATTTATTATGTGTGCGTAACTTCTTTTCTCTGAACTTCAGTGTCCTTGAAAATAAAGCTCACATCTTATATTTTTGTATATGACACTACTCAGGCATAAACATAGCAAAAATTTTGGTTTAATTTTGATCTGCTTTCTTACTATAGTATCTATACTATAGTATCTATCCTATAGTATACACACACACACACACACACACACACACACACACACACACACATATAGGAGAAGGCAAAAGTTCAGGCCTCCAACTTTTATATTCTTGGTCAACTACAAGCAATAGGTGTAAAAAAAAGTTTCTACTGCAGCTCAAGAATACTGCATTCTACCTTCATTCGTAGTTACTCTAAATGATTACACATGGGACAAATACATAAAACAGAGTAGCTTTTAAACCAAATGCACACAAATATAAAATACTGTCAATATTATTACCATCAGCTATAAGGTTAATGAAGCGCATTAAATTTCCTGAAGTATGAAAAGGCAGATATCACTTTATTTTGTAAATTTATTCCACTGATACATGTAGAACTATTGTACTTGCACCAAGCAGCTCTAAATTTAGGTTGAAGAGAATGAAAAGAGACAATAGAAAACAAGAAAATGCAAATTCTGAATGCTAGAGACAGAGAGAAAAGAAATGCCTCATGTCAACTTAGAGCACAGGTTTTTAAACTTTTTTTTGCACCATGGATGCCCTTGGCAATCTAGTGAAGGCTATGGATGCCTTGTCAAAATGTTTTTAAATGCATAAAATAAAATCCATAGGATTATAAAGGAAACTAATTATGCTGACATAAATTATCAAAAGATAGATTTTTTTATTTTTTGAATTTATTATTTTATTTTCCCCCAGTTACATGTAGAAACAATTTTTAACATTCATTTTTAAAACGCTGACTTCCAAATACTCTCCTTTCCTCTCTCTCCACCCCCCCCAATTTAGAAGACAAGGAATTCAATATAGGTTATACATGTGCAGTCATGCAAAACACTTCCATATTAGTCATAAAAAAAAACCTTCGAGAAAAATAAAGAAAGTTTAAAAAAAGTATGCTGCAATTTATATTCAGACACCATCAGTTCTTTCTCTGAGGATGGATGTTTCATCGTAAGTCCTTCAGAGTTGTCTTGGATCATTGTATTGCTGAGAATAGTTAAGTCATTCACAGCTGATCATCTTATAATATTGTTGTTACTTTGTCCACAATACATATCACTTTGCATCAGCTCATATAAGTGTTTCCAGATTTTTCTAAGAGCATCCCCCCCTCATCATTTCTTATAGCACAATAGTATTCTATCATAATCACATTCCACAATTTGTTCAACCATTCCCCAACTGATAGGCATACCCTCAATTTCCAATTCTTTGCCACCAGAAAAGAGCTGCTATAAATATTTTTGTACATGTAGGTCTTTTTCCTTCTTTTTTTTTTAATCTCTTTTGGGATATAGACCTAGTAGTGGTATTACTAAGTCAAAGGATTTTATATTGCTTTGGGCATAGTTCCAAATTGCTCTACAGAATGGTTGGATTAGATCACAATTCCACCAACAGTGCACTGATGTCTCATTTTTCCCACATACCCTCCACCATCTGTCACTTTCTTTTTCTATCCTATTAGCCAATCTAATACGTATGAGGTAATACCTCTGAATTGTTTTAATTTGCATTTGTCCAATCAATAGTGAGAAAAAATAGCATTTTTTCATATGACTACAGATAGATTTGATTACTTCATCTGAAAACTGTTCATATCTTTTGATCATTTATTAATTGGGGAATGGCTCTTATTTTTATAAATTTGAGTCAGTTCTCTGTATGTTTGAGAAATGAGGCTTTTATCAGAGAAACTTACTTCAAAATTTTTTTCACTATTACTGTTGCTAACTATATTTCCCTTCAATCTATTTCCCCCCATTTATTCTATTTTCTCTCACCTTTCACTCAGTCCTTGCTCAAGTGTCTAGCTTCTCACAACCTCCTCCCCCAATATGCTCTCCCTTCTATCACCTTGCCCCCCCCTTCTCTTATCCCTTTTCTCTTATCCCTTATTCTCTTATTCATCTGAGTGTATGTTCTGATCTTCCTTGTCACCACAGTAACTTTCTACAGCCAGAAATTTTTCCCGTTGTTTGCTCATTTTCCCAGCCTATTTCTTGACTTAACTCTTTGTTAAAGTAGGGCTCTGCTTCCAGGGTAGAGGACGCACTGTCCCAAGTTTCAGGGGTTTTGTGTAGCTGTTTTCAGAGATACTTCTAGGGACTTGTAAGTTTTCAGTTCTTCTGAGATGGTATGATCTAAAGAGAGGGGTGTTTACTACTCTCCTGGTCTGTGAGTGACCACCAGCACTCTTTTCTGCCTTGGAATTGTAAGGAGGGCCCTTGCTCCACCACAGCTGCAAGCTCTAGTGTGCTAGTGCTCCTCCTTGCCCTGGGACCGCCACCTAGGACCTTGACCTGGATCCGAGTATGGGCAAAGCAACAGAGTCCTGCCCTAGTGCTAGCAAAGAGACCCCTGTAATCTCCTTCTGATCAGCTGTTTGACCCCCTTACTGTCTGCTGGCCAAGAGCTCTGCAAGCAGCTGCTGCCACTGCTGATTCAGTGGCTCTCAAGGCCTGCTCCTGGTTTGCTAAGGCTGGGTCTGTGCTGACACGGCCTGTGGTGAATTGTGCTCCACTCTCACCCAGGTAGGACAGACCTTTCCTGCCGACCTTCTAAATTGTTTCTGGCTGGAAAATTATGTCACCCCGTCCTTTTGTGGGCTCTGCTGCTCCAGGAATTTTATGGCATTATTTGAAGATGTTCAGAGGGGTTTTGAGGAGAGTTCAGATCAGTCATTGCCTTTTGTCTGCCATCTTGACTCCACCTCCTGTCAAAATATTTTTTTTTTTAAAAATTCCCTGGATCTCAGGTTAAGAACCCCTGAACTAAAGTTTTGTTAGGATTACAGCTTTATCCAAGATAGTAAAGAGTGATATGACTTTTCTTACTTATATAACTTAGGAAATCCATGAGAAGTCTCAAATTCCTGGGAGGTGGACATTATAATTTAAATTTTAATTCTAAAGAGAATCATAAAAATCCTAAAATTTAATCTCACTAGAATCTCTTGGTCTCTGTCACACACACACACACACATATACACATACACATACACACACACACACACCCCTCTCTCTCTCTATATATATGTATATGTATATATATACATACATACATATACATATACACATGTGAATGGCAGAGGGAGAAAACGTGCGCAATGAACACCTAAATAATTGGTTTTCCATTGGTTTGTAAAGAACAAGAGGCTCTTTGAAAATGGGGGTACTGGTTTGTGCTATATTTTAAGTACTCAGATGTATCCTTACTCAAAAGAAACTAAAAAAACAGTATCCAGAATACTCACTTTCCAAACACCGTGTACTTCATGTCCAAATGAGGCTGCTTGCCGTAAGTAATAAAGAACTGTGATCCATTGGTATTTGGGCCATTATTAGCCATGGATACAACTCCTCGAACGCTGTGCTAAGAGACCATCAAAAATACCAATTTAATCATATTTATTAAGAAGGACTCTGAATTTAGGCCTGAGATAAACATGCTTTGCCACTGAGCTATATAAACAGAGGCAAATCCCCTCACCACCTTGAGCTTCAGTTACTTTACCTTTATCCCTTATAAAATGGACTAAACTAGACGAACTCTTCTTTGGGGAGTAAGAGTTGGACTAAAAAAACTGTAAAATTCTACAACATATAATAATCAAATAATGGTATTTTTTAAAAAGGGGATGAGAATATCAGAGTGTTAACTGAATAACTCAAAGGATCTTATTATGTAGTCCATCACCAAGCCCAGCATGTACTGAACACTAGGAATACAACCACAAAAGTATAAAAGTCCCTGCCCTCGAGGAACTTATTTTCTACGTGGGGGATATAACATGTTCACAAAAAAGTAAATACAGGACATGTACAGAATAGATACACACTGCCTGGCCAAGGGACAGTGGTCATGGGCATGAAGGTTATTAACAATTGATGTTAACTAAAAAAGGCCTCTTGAAGGAGGTGGCACTTCATCTGAGCCTTAAAGGTAGATAGAAATTTCAAGAGGTAGAGAGGAGAAAGGAGAGCATTTCAGGCATGGCCAACCTGTGAAAAGGCCTGAAGGTCACAGAGGATACTGTATATAAGGAACAACTGGGACAGTCAGCTGAAGTATGCAGAGGCTAAAGGAGAATAATGGGTAATCAGCTTGGAAAAATAGGTTGGAGCTAGAATGCGATAGATTTAAATGCTTTAAATGCCAAATGGATATTTGTACTTTATCCTTTAAATCTGGTGAACCTGAAGAAAAAGCCTTTGCCTGGAATGCTTTCCCTCCTCATTCTGCCTCCTGGCTTCCTTCAAATCCCAACTAAAATCTCACCTTCTACGGGAAGCCTTTCCTAATCCCTCTTGTTTCTAGCCCCTTCCTCCTTTAATTATTTCCTGTTTTTCCTGTATATAAGCTTGGTTGTTTGTACATATTTGTTTGCTTGTAGATTGTGAGTTCCCTAATTGCGAGGACTATTGTTTTGCCTTCATATCCCTAGCACTTAGCCCAACTCCAGGGACATGTTAGGTGCTTAATGATTGCTTAGTGACTGAAAGACTTTAAATGCCAAGTAAACATTTATATTCTACAGCAGTGAAGTCACGTGGTCAGGTGTGTGTTTTGGGAATATCAATTTGTCACCTATGTGGAGGACAGATTAGAGAGGGGAGAGCCTAGAGGTAGGGTGATCAATTAGGAGCTACTATAAAAGTTCAGGTGAGAAAAGATGAGGACACCAACTCAGATGGTTGTGATGTGGGTAGAAAGAAGGGAAGTGGATTTAGGAGGGAAGAAAATAAGTTGTTTTGGATATACTGCGTTTGAAATGCTTATGGGATACCTGGGAGAAGATGTCCAGCAGGCATTTAGAGATGTAAGCCTGGAGATAAGTAGAGATAAGAGCTGGATATACAGATTGGGGAATCATATCAATAGAGATGACAGCTGAATCCATGGGAGCTGATGAAATCTCAAAGAGAGTGAACAGAGAAAAAAAGATGAGAGAGCCCAGGACAGAGCCCTGGGCTTCACCCATAAATAAAGGATGGGACATGGGTGAGGAACCTTAAAAGAAGACCCCTTGGTCTTCCAGGGAGAAAAAGAACCATGACAGAGCAATGTCATAAAAACCAAGGGAGGAGGAAGGACATGATGAAGGAGGAGCTTGTCAGCAGTACCACGAGCTGGATCAAGGTCGATAAGGCTGAGGAAAAGTCACTGGATTTGCCAAAAAAGAGATTGTTGGTAACTATGGAGACCAAAATTTCAGTTGAGTGGTGGGACAGAAACCAGAATGAAAGGGGTCAATAAGTGAGTGGGAGGAGAGAAAGTAGAGGCAATCAGCAGAAGTCTTTTTTTTTTTAAATTTGGCTATGAAAGGGAAGACAGAGATGGTCAACTTCTAGAGGGGATGGCAGGGCCAAGTGAAGGTCTTTTTTAAGAATTGGGAAAACCTGGGCATGTCTATAGGTAGTCTCTAGAAAGAGTCAATGAGCTGCTTCTGGGAGCCAAGATGGCGGAGTAGGAAGTAAGTCGTTCTTACCGTCCCTTATTAACTTCTGAAAGCCCAGAAAATATCACCCCAGGAAAAACCCTGGAACAGCTGAAGAAAAAAGAAGTGCAGCAGTCCTGTAGCCCAGGTAGCTTGAGGGATTAACTGGAAAAGCCCCTCCTGCCCTGAGGCAAGGGGAGCAGTATAGAACTGGAGGCCTCTCAGCAAGCTAGCAGAAAGCCCCACCTTTGCATACCAGGAGGAGATCCTGAAACCCAGGTGGTTGGAGCAGGCAAACACCAACACCTGGACCCCTGAGTGTCTCAGTAAGGGCAGAGGAACCAGAGGAAACCAGCTCAAAAAACCACTACATGTCTTGGAATTCTACAGCAACCAAGTCTCCCAGTGCCTCAGCAAAACTAAGGGAAGCAAGACTCCAAACATCCTGCAACATCCATCGGAAAGGAGCCACCCTCAGGAACACCCCACTCCCGAGGGCATATGAACTGCGAGCCTGCAGCCATGAAAGGAAGGAAAGGCCCGGATGAGCAGGCAACCTCCAGGGACCACACTACCCAATTCTACCCTTAGAGCTGATACCAGCCCAACAACAGGTAAGCTGCCAGAACCCTACAGCCTTCAACTGACAGCATCAGAGGCCCCAGTACACAAAGCCAGTGACCAGGTCCTGGGCTTCCAACACAAAAAGCTTTAGTCAGTGCCCCCTGCTCCCCAGCAGGAGACCTCAATGTCTTTAAAGGTCATGAAAAAAGCAAACACCATGAGCAAACAGAAAGGGTCAATGAATAAGAAAAGATCTACAATTAGGTAGAGATGATGATCAAAAGGGCAACCTCCTGGAAGAGATGGGAGCTAATGGAGTCCAGGGCAAGTAGAGGGTATAATGAAAAGTTGTTCAATGGCATGAAACTGGAGAAGAATGCTACCATGAAGTTTCAATGTATTAGTTATAGCTCACATTTATGAACTGCCTTTGGTTAAAAAATCAGACCTGTGATTTCTCCAGTATAGGCAGCTCATGGCAAATAACTCCCTCTACTACCAATGCAGCTCATAATCTTCTCTGCAACTAGTCTGTGAGAGAAATGATTATTAATAACCAATGATTTGGAGAGATCCAGAGTTCCCCCTTTTTCTATAGTCTTCATTTCAAAGTTCATTCTCTTGAAGAACTTACTGATAGTGAGATGATATTAACTTTCTTAATCTTTTTCAGACCCCACCCAAGTGGGGAAGCCAAGGTGCTCTACTCAGATCTGGATGGAGATAAATTCTTTGAACAGAATGCCCAAGGCTCAGGATCATTTAGACATAAAAGACATAAATTCATTAGAAAAGGTCCAGCCCCTCATTGACATTCATTCTCTCATTGTTAGCCAGTCAGAGCTGATTGGCACCCTCAGGAACACCCCACTCCCAGGGGCATATGAACTGTGAGCCTGAGGCCATAATTGTCTTTGGCCTTGAAGAGCACCACTGACCTTTTATTAAAATGCTATCATTATTAATAAAATGACTACCCAGAAATTATGTATCTCAAACATTTTAAATATCCCATCTGAGAGCTATCTGGGGCAGTTAGAGATTAAGTGACTTGCCCAAGGGCACAAAGATAGAAAGCAAGGGAGGAGGAGCCTCAGGTTCCAATAACAAGGAGATATCTCTCAAGGAGCTGTTACTCCCAGTGGTGACTATTTATTTTTAGCAGAACCCACTAACTACAAGAGGCTCATGAAGGAGTGGGTCTATCAGTTTAATGACTGATCAAATGCTAAGAACAGGATGTAGAATAATGAGAAAAGATTTATGTCTATAAGCTCTATTATCAGACACAGCAGTACTTAATGCAGTTGAATTACTCAATATCCTCAGTTTATACTTATGCTAGTAGATACTGTTTAATGATTTTTATATTCTAATTTAAAGGGGGAAATTCTTCAAACCATCTCGGTAAAATACTTTTGTTTTCTTTTAATTTTTTTTTTTAATTTGAACTTAAAACATCAAAAAAGAGTATTTGCATACATGCATCAGAATACATTCACTTTTTTTTTTTTAAACAAGATACCATCTAGCAGCAACTGAAATACAACTGAAACTCACTGTCCTTGAGAGGTTTGGCACAAAATAGTATTTAATATACTACAAATAGATATACTAGTATACCTGCAAAGTTTAAATGGGAACAAGATGTGCCAATCTAATATAAATTTTTGATTGAAAAGCAAAAAGTATAATAAATGTTCATTCATTTTTCAATCCTGTCCAACTCTTTGTGACCCCATTTGGGATTTTCTTGGCAAAGATACTAGGGTAGTTTGCATTTCCTTTTCTAGCTCACTTTACAGATGAGGAAACTGAGGCAAACAGGGGTAAGTGACTTGGCCAGGGTCAAACAGCTGGTGTGTGAGGCCACATTTGAACTCAGGAAGATGAGTGTTCCTAACTCCAGGCCCAACATTTTATCCACTACAACACCAATATAATAAAAATAATGATAATAAACTGTAGGGTTAAATTATAGGAAGAGGTCAAGCACTAACCTATGTTAAGTTTCATCAGAGCCATTAAGTCATGAAATATGCAAAAGCAACTACCCAAAATTCCTACTTGCAAAATCATGCTAACTTGTATTTAATGAGTTAATTCAGTTTGAAAGTCTCCAACTTTTAACTAGTGAGAAACCTAAGGTACCTGAATAATACTGAAGAACAGAGAGATACCTTAAGGTATTCACTGTATTCATCTTCAAATTTCCTGCCCCAGATACTGTTGCCTCCTTTTCCAGAACCTGCAGAACAATAAAATGAATATTTGGCTCAAGTTTTTAAAAGAAAAAAGGGAGGAGGGAAAGTTATTTTTAGGAGGAAAAAAATGAAGTATTAAGACCCTAAAACTTTTAAAATGACCCATCTTAATAGATGGCAAACTAACATGTCCAGATAGTTTATCTCACCTTCTAAAATTGTGGTACATGAACTAATCAATGAAAATGAAACATCACACAAATAACAAAAAAGAATAATTCACTTTAAAAATTATTTACTAAAACAGTACCTACTGGACTCTTAGACATTTTTTTGAGAACAAACTACAGCATAATACAAAAAATCCCAGCTTCTACACTTAGGATAATTTTTTCCCCCCCTTCATTCCCAGGTAGAAAGCTAGTAATGAATTAAAGCACTCACCTGTTGGATCTCCTGTTTGTACCATGAAACCCTTGATATTTCTGTGAAATATACACCCATTGTAGTAATTACTAGCACAAAGAGCCAAGAAATTCTAGAGAATATGAAAATAAATGTTAGGAAATTCTATAGCAATGATGTTTTAAAAATTAAATAAAAACACTTGATTCTTCAAACACTATGGCTGATGGATTTAAAATGTACATTTCAAACATTAATCTGGACACTAATTGTACTTTATACTTAATTTTTGTCAATAAGCAACTGAAATAACTGCAAAATATTTTTTCATCTAACATTACAATCACGTTTGTCTATTTTCTACAGAAAATTAATTAGAAGACAAGATTTCAGGTTCCTATTCTGTATGAGGGGTTGGGTGGTTCAGAAAGCAGTAGGGACCCCTATGCCCTTTCAGGAGGTTCTCAATATTAAAACTATTTTTGTGATAATACTAAGACTTTTTAATGCCTAATCCATTAAATATTGATAGACATAACCCACACAAACAGAAACTCTTTGGCAAGGTGGATCCTTGATAATTTCAAACAGTGTGAAGGGGTCTCTAAGACCAGAAAGTGTGAGATTTGCTGAATGAAACACTAAGATTCCTGATACTCTTAAATCCTATGATGCAAGTCACTTCTACTGTTGATGGGTCCATCTCATCTTTGTTCCACCTTTGACAAGCAAAGCCTATTTCTCAGCGTGTGTCACAGTGACACACAGCCTTTTGTGTAGGAATTAGACTAGATGCCCAAGAAGGTCCCTTCCAATTCCATGATTCTTTATTCTGAGCCTGGGTGCTAGAAGCAAGCAGTGGCCTTTATACTGCTCTTCTTCATTTCACTTGGAGAAGTTCAGGGACTTCTCACGATACTTCTGAGTGACAGATAAGCTACTACTTACCTACTGGTTAGGATAGCAAACAGAAATCTCTATAATATCATTTTATCATAAAAGGCATTTATGAAGTCCTCAATTATGCACATATGGTGTTAAATGGTAACATCAGACCTATTCCCTCAAATATAAACACACAAAACAAGATATTAAAGAAGCCAAAAAACCCACTGCAAAATCATTAATCCGGTGTTCTGGTCATTTATATATTTTCTACATGAAAACTAAAGCCCCTTGATTCACAGTGAATTGTACACCTTTACATTGGTTCACAGACTTCATGATGGAACGGATGCTAAGAGAGCTTGTCCAGAAGTGTCAAACTCGAAACCCAGAACGAGATTAAGATGTAATTGGGAAATTTTTAACAAAATAAATACAAATACAATACAACATAATGCTAATTTGTAATTTTCTAAGTTAATACGCAGCCCAAGATCCATTTCTATTTGACTTTGACACCACAAATCTAGTCCAGCCCAATCACTTTACAGATGAGGAAACTTGAGGCCCAGAAAGTTAAGTGACTTGCCTAAGTAGTAGGGGGCAATGACAGGATTTAACCCATGTTCTCTGACTCCAAATCCAGAACTCTTTCCACTACATCACTAAAGTGTTCAGAGCCAAGTTATTATTTATTTCAATACTTACTTCACATGACTTGGGTGTCCGCTCACAGAAGACTTCTATTTTAATATCACCTACATCTGTGTGCAATGTCACAGACTAAAAAGGGGAAAGAGAATGTGAAAATAAATCAATTTTCTTCAATCGCATTTATGCACTGTATTATTGCCAACTTAAAAACTCAGATAACAATCCAAATAGAAACAGAATTATATAATGATGCTTCAGAGGTGACCAACTGAAAAGAAAAAAAAAAAGGTTTAGTAAATAAGGAAAGCTGTTTTAATACCTCCAGAAAATTATTTAAGTAGATATCTTTTTTTTTTAAATGACAACATCATTCATGTAAAAAGCATCATTAAGCTCTTTGGGAGTTATATTGATAAGGACAGAAGACCATTATATGGCTCACAACAACCTCTTTGTGCTCCAAGAACAAAAATGTAGGATTAGTTTTCCTCAAACATAGCCCTACCAAACTCTAGGCATGTGATTCTTTCTGGCAATAACCCCTATTTACAATATAGGTGGTTGCAGTTAAATCTCCCTATTCTCCCAAATCCCTGAGAAGATCATGCTCTACAATGAGTGAATGTAACAGTTCTCTCAAAGGGTCCTGTGGAACTGCTCCTTCTCAATCTCCTCTGCTGGATATTCACCGAGGTCATATCCACTAATCGGGAGTGTTCTCCAAAGCTCTGTCCAGGACTCTCCTTTTTGTCCCCCTGGGCTATTTCACTTGGTAATCTCATGAGCTCCCATGGACTCAATGATTATCTAGGCTGATGATTCTCATATCTTCTTATCCAACCCTGAGCTCTCTCCTAATATCCACATTCTTATCGTTTTGGTTTTTTTTTTTAAGGCAATTGGAGTTAAGTGACTTGCCCAAGGTCACACAGCTAGTAAGTGTCAAGTGTTTGGTCCAAGGCCGGATTTGAACTCAGGTCCTCCTGACTCCAGGTCTGGTGCTCCATCCACTGCGCCACCTAGCTGCCCCTGCCCTCTTATCTTTAACTGCCCACTGGACCTCTCAAAGTGGCTGTCTCCTAGACACCTTAAACACATGTCCAAAACTGAACTTTTTATCTTTTCCCCTAAAACCTTCCCTCCTCCTAACTTTCCTATTACTATGGCAACATTTCTCCCATTCACCCATGCTTGCAACCTAGGCGTCCTCCTGAACTCCTCACTGTCTCTCATCCTCTCTATACAATCTGTTACCTGCTGATTCTACCTCCTTACATCTTTTGCATATGCCTCCTTCTCTCTTCTGACAGTGCTACCACCCTGGTACAGGCCCTCCTCACCTCATACCTGGACCACTGCAATAGCTGCTGGATGGCCTCCCTACCTCAAATCTCTCCCCACTCCATCCCAGCCTCCACTTAGCTTTCAAACTGACCTTTTTCCAAAGTACTGGTCTGACCACATTATTCCTTTATTCAATAAATTCTAGTGGCTTCCTATCACCTCCAGGATCAAATATAAAATCCGAGGTTTAAAATTCAAAGCCCTTCACAACCCGGAGCTCTTACTTTTCCAGTCTTCCTATACTTTGCTCCTCCACCCCACATACTCCATGACCTGACTAACCTTCACTCCTAGCACTATCTCCCTCCTCATCTGGGCTTCCTGGCTTCCTTCAAGTCCTGGCTAAAACCCCACCTTCTACATGAAGCCTCTCCCAATCATCCTTAATGCTAGTGCCTTCCCTCTGCTGATTATCTCTGATCTATCCTGCATGTCTTTTTTGTACATGGTTGTTTGAATGTTTCTTTCCCCAGTAGACTGTGAGCTCCTTAAGAGTAAGACCGTTCTTAGCCTTTCACTTGACAAAGTGCCTGGCATATATAACATGTGCCTAATAAATGCTTGCTGATCACCTTGGGGAATGCAACTGTGCTTTTCAATATGCAGTCACCTTCCTCTTTCCCCTCCCCCCCGATGTCTTTTTTCACCCTCTTTTCCTCAACACCTAAAGGAGCATACTGGAGGAAGAAGGTCCCCAGTGTACACTGAGACCCCTGCCATCCTTCCCCACCCACTCCACTGCAGGGGCCACTTTGGGATCACGTGAGTCAAAACAAGAACTTCTCCATTAAAGTTGCTATGACTTACATTGAGCTTATATTTTCTGCCCTCCCAATTCCCTCTTTCTACCCCAACCTGCCTACAAATATAAATAAGGGATATCTGGTAGTTTTTTAACTCAAAAAAGGGAAAAAAAATTAAAGAAAAATTTAAATAGTTTTATGGAAAGTTTAAATGTTATTTTTTTTTTTACTTTCTACTACTGCCTAAAAGCACTCTACTCTTGCCACATTCACACCCTTTCACTTTTCCTCTCTTTAACGATCTACTTTTCATGAAAATCTCTAACTAGAGTTGCCAGTTTTTTCCTTATAGAAAACAATCAACTGTACACAAACCATTATGCTATTCCATAGGACATGCTATGTTGAAAACAGTGTGATGGCAGCTAGGTGGCGCTGTGGATAGAGCACCGGCCCTGAAGTCAAGAGGACCTGAGTTCAAATCCGGCCTCAGACCAAACACTTGACACTTACTAGCTGTGTGACCCTGGGGAAGTCACTTAACCCCAATTACCTAAAACAAAAAACAAACAACAAACAACAAACAGACAAAAAAAAGAAAAAGAAAACACTGTGGATATTCAACAATCTGTCTGCAAGAGTGGATCAGTGACCATGCCAAAGATCTACGGAGTCACAAAATCAAACCAAAAGGATGAAAGTGGAAAAGGTTCTTCAAAGGCCTCATGATGGACAATGCTATGACCAAACAGGAGATAGAGAACATTACGAAAAGCAAAATGGATAACTTTGATTACATTAAATTGAAAAGTTTTTGCACAAACAAAGCCAATGCAACTAAGATTAGAAGGAAGGCAGAAAACTGGGAAAGAATTTTTACAACCAGTCTCTCTGATAAGGGCATCATTTCTAAAATACATAGAGAATTAAGCCAAATTTATAAGAATACAAGTCATTCCCCAATTGATAAATGGTCAAAGGATATAAACAGGCAGTTCTCAGATGAAGAAAATAAAGCCATCTATAGTCATATGAAAAAATGCTCTAAATCACTACTGATTAGAGAAATGCAAATCAAACCAACTCTGAGGTACCACATCACACCTATCAGATTGGCTAACATGACAAAACAGGAAAATGATAAATGTTGGAGAAGATGTGGGAAAATTGGAACACTAATGCATTGTTGGTGGAGTTGTGAAATGATCCAACCATTCTGGAGAGCAATTTGGAACTATGCCCAAAGGGCTTTAAAAATGTGCATATCCTTTGACCCAGCAATAGCACTTCTAGGGCTATATCCCAAGAGATCATACAAATGGGAAAAGGACCCACACGTACAAAAATATTTATAGCATCTCTTTTTGTGGTGGCAAAGAATTGGAAATTGAGAGGATGCCCATCAATCGGGGAATGGCTAAACAAGTTGTGGTATATGAATGTAATGGAATACTATTGTGCTATAAGAAATGATGAACAGGCTGACTTCAGAAAAACCTGGAAAGACTTGTATGGTCTGATGCCGAGTGAAGTGAGCAGAACCAGAAGAACGTTGTACACAATTAACAGCCACGTTGTGCCATACCTGATATTGATAAACTTAACCCTTCCCAGCAATACAAGGATCTAAGACATCTCCAAAGGCCTCGTGGTGGAAAATGCTATCCGCATCCAAAGAAAGAACTATGGAGTCTGAATGCAGATTGAAGCATACTATTTGCTATTTTTTTTCTTCTGTTGAGTTTTGTTTCCTCTTACTGGTGGTTCCTCCTATTGGTTCTAATTCTTACTTACAACATCACTAATGTGAAAATATGTTTAATAGGAATGTATATGTATAGCCTATATTAGATCGTGCGCCGTCTTGGAGAGGAAGTTGGGGAAGGAAGGAGAGAAAAATTTAAAACTCAAAAGCTTATGGAAATGATTGTTGATAAATCAAAATAAATTAATTTTTAAAAAGTAGAAAAGGTTTAAGTTTTGAGCTAGAAGTGACAACAAGCTAAATAGCTAAACAAAAGTTACACAATCATTCAAGTAAATCCTAAATAACAGAATAACCAAATCCTAGAAGTGGCTAAAATGGACAATCTTTAAAGAGTAGAAGGAAAGAGATAGGAACACTTAAATCTCTGAAATAACCAGAGGATCAAAAACTGTGACCACTCTGTGCTAGAAGGTTAAATAACACAGGAAACTGAACTTTGCATAAAACACCTACATGCCTTGGATCATGGAGTTTTGTTGTTGTTGTTGTTGTTGTTGTTGTTTTGCAGGCTGGATAATTTATTTTTCTTTTTTAGATTAACATACACATTTTGAAAACAAACATGTGATTGGTGCTTATATGTTTCTGCTTAATTATTTTTATGTTGCTCGTTTTTCTTGGATGCTTATTTGGTTAATGAGGACTAAGAAAACAATAAAAGAATAGAAGAAAAAGGAAAGAGAAGTCTCTTACTTTGCCGTTTTGCTTAGGTCTCTGGTAGCGGCTGAGCGCCACCGAAAATCCTTCTCTATTCAAACAGACAAAACGATGCTATGATGATGGCAAAGACAACAACTAAGAATAACAACAACTATAAGGCACATTAATATAGCTTCACGGTTTCCAAAAAGCTTTTCCTCCTATGAGAGAGGATGTACAAGTATGATGTTCCCCTTCTAGTGACAAAACATGCTCAGAGACTTTCGGTAACCTGCCTAGGGTCACATAGCAGGACTTGACTCCAGGTCTCTGGCTTCCAGTCCTAGAGGCAGGGCTGCCTTGGAGGGCCAAGGGCCTCAGCTGCCTGGGCTGGGTCCAGGGTTTCACTGCAGCACCTGCCACTGCTTCTGGGATGGGGACAAGGACAGGAAGGCAAGCCCTGCTCAGTCTAGTTGGGAGCCAAGGCTCGGGTCCGTGGCAAGAACTGGAGTGGTTCTTCTCCCACGTCACTTTGTCTTAGAGCTACTTTTCATGTCCCTCTCCTAGCTGGTGACTGCCATGATGACAGGACCTGTCTTATGCAAGTTTGTCTCTTCCCCAGAGCCTAGAACATTTCTCGACGTAGCGGGGAGTTAACATAATCAATGGGGGTTGAGTCTTCAGATGTTTGCTGTGGAAGGAGGTCTATGCTGAGTGTCCAATGAAGGGGTGGAGCCAGGCAGGCCATGGGAGTGGGTAGGGAGGGCATGCCCATGGCGGGCTTCTTAGGGAAGGGGACATCTTCCTGGCTGGATACTCCCTGTAAGATATTCTTGTTTTTCGTGACACTTTTTGGGGGGCTCTGGACCTGTGACATATCTCAAAGGTAGGTTTGGCAGCTCTCTGGGGACCATCACTCAGAAGCAAGGGCTGGCACTGCCCAGTTCTCTGCCTTGCCTGACCACTTCTACCTCTGGGTTTCCTTTCCAGATCTCGAGGGACATGGCTGTGGACTTAATGGAATACCATCTTAGCAGTGAGTTAGACCAATAAGAACACTCCACATGCATCCGACACTCAATGGCTGCTCAAAGCCTGGTCACTCTCAACCATGTGGTCAGTAGAGTGGAAGCTCTGGGAGAGCAGGGATGATGTCCTTAGCTCTGTCTCTCCCATGTCTAGTACTTTCCCTCAATAAAGGTTTGGTGAAATGCACTGACTCGATCCTCACAACACCTGTCTATGGGAGTGGGGCTGGCAGCAGGCCCAAGGAAAGGAGGCATGGTTTGCCTCTGGACTCAGCCTGGGGCTCTGCTTCTAGTTAGACAATTTTTCTGATTCACTAAAGTTATTTTTTCTCTGGGAGGCTCCCATTCAGAATACTCCTGATCCTACCCACCTCCCCCAAGAGCATTTCTTTGTCCCTAGCCCACATACGAGACCAAGGCTCCAAGTCCCTGCTTACACACAGTGCCCTGGGGGTGGGGGTCTGTGGCATCACCCTCAGCCATCCCCTTGGCTGGGGAAGAGAATGGAATTCTCTGATAAAAACATACACATTTACAACAAGCAACATTAAAAAGTACTCCTCGTGTGTCAACCTAGTCAGCTGCTCACTTTGTCTACCCCTGTCCTAGCTCTGGTAAAGAGCATGAAGTTTCTCTCTCCAAAGCCCAATTATATATCAAAGGCAGTTATCACATAAACTAAAAAGAATTACCTAAGACTAGTAAGATTGGGCAGGTTGAACTAGATAATCTCTGAGGTTCCATTTAGGCTCTAAAATGACTATAATTCTACAACCAGTTTCATGGTTCTAGTTTTAGAAGTAGTATTTTAATGCATTCTGAACTCTTTAAGTTAAAAATTATAAAGAAAGAAAAACTTTCTTAAGGAATCTATGAAACTCACCATCCTGCTACTTGGGGATTTCAGGCAATCCAAAAGAAAGCTGAAAAGGAGGGGGAAAAAGTTTACAAACTTTTCCTTCCTTATTTAATTCAAATAAATCTATTTAATTTAAACAGCACATTTACAACAATCCTAGTGAATCATGGTTAGAGGTAAAGGGTAGCAGATGTAAAGAAAAGACCACAAGCAAGAAGAGGAGCTCTGAGAGCCATCCTACAAATCCAATCCCACTAGGGCTTTGCTTTATTTGTTCTATAATGCAAGCCAGTTGTGTTTGTGTCCATGCATACACATGTGTATGTATGTCCCAAAGAAAGCCACTGTTAATAAAGATTCACTTTAAAGGAAATAATTTTGCTTTATCTTTTAAACTTTTCAATTTTCCTTTGTTCCAGACCTGTGATCTCTTAGTATTACTTAGTAGCTTCCAAGTGAGGAAATTCCCTCTATTCTATCCACAATTGCTCTCCAACTTATTAGTCAAGAAGCATTTATTAAGCACCTATTATGTACTAGGCAATGTGCTATGTACAGAGGATATAATTCTTGCTCTTAAGTTTATATTCTACTCAGTAAGACACTATATGCACATATAAGTATAGGAACTGGGAAAGGGCCTAACCCTCTTATTTCACTGTTCTAGGGAATTCCCTAGTAAGGAAAAGCTCTACTCACACAGTTTTTTAATAGTTTCAGACAGTTGCTTAGAGCACAGGGAAGCCAGCTCTCTATCCACTAAGCTATTCTACTTCTCATGTAAACGTATACATATGAATACAAGACAATTTTGTGCAGCAAACACTAGCAACTAGAGGGAATCAGGGAAGTCCTCCGGCAGGAGGTGTTTGAGTTCTGTTTTAAAGGAAACCAGGAAAACAAGTGGAAGAGAGTTTCCTGGTACACTGAGAAGCTAAATAACTTGCCCAAGGTTACACAGCCAATACTGCAGTAGCAGGATTTGAACCCAGGTCTTTCTGACTAAGGCTGATTCTCTATCCACCATACCAGATGTTTTCAAATGTGGTCTTGTGGATCCTGGGGGTTCGTCAGACATTTCAAAAGATCTTGCAGTATCAAAACTATTTTCATAATAATACGAAGATGTTATTTGCCTTTTTCCCTCTCATTCATTCATGAGAATACAGTGGAATTTTCCAAAGGCTACATGATCTGTGAAGCTTCAACTGCAAATGCAAAAACTGTTAATATCTCATCTGGAAAACTGTACTTACACCTGCCACCATGAGCTTGACAAATTCCCAGTTCTTAGATTTTTCTGATGAGAGCGCTAGTGACATTAATGACATAATCTTTTTACATCCTATGATGAACTGTGTCAGCATTTGGAAGATCAGCATAATTCACTGAACCAATATTTTCCAAATGATCAATTCATAATGTTACAAAATCATGGGTAAAAGATCCATTCAAAATGCAAGATCCAACCAATGGAACTTAATGTAACATGTTCAAAAAGGTCATTGATATGGTTTTAGATTCCTCATTGCAACTCACCTTTAAGAAACTACTACTTGACCAGTTCTGGTATGGTGTCAAAGAATATCCATAAACATCTAAAAAGGTCATAAAAAAAAACCCTTTCTTTTTCCAACTACATGTCTGCATGAAGCTGGGTTTTCTTCACATACTTCAACTGAAACAACACATTACAAAAGATTGAATGCAGAAACAGAAGGATCCAGCTGTCTCCTAGTAAGCCAGAAACTAAAGAGATATGCAAAAATGTAAAACATTTCTATGCTTCCCACTAATTTTTTTTTTGAAAATTGTTATTTTTTTAAACCATGTTAATTATGTTAACATGTAATGAATTTCACTATTACTACATTAAAAATGAGTATTTTAAACATTTTCAGTTGTAATTTCTAATGCAGTATATTATCAATAGCTATAACCCACATAAATAAAAGCTCTTTGGGGTCCTCAATTTTTAAGAGCTTCAAAGGAATCCAGAGACCAAAAAGTCTGAGAACCATTGTCCTTCAGACACACCAAAAACTCTCTAAAGATAATGAGGCTGACTTTAAAGGAGTAAAGAAAAATCAGTCCTACCTCGACTTGATCCCTACTACTGCCGAATCCTACTTAAGACTTGAATGTTTAAAATTAAAAAGACTTTGCCCCAGTTCAGTCCCTTCCTACTCTCAAACTGCTATTCTGTGATAAACCACTTTTTACTTCATTTACTTTGTGTGATATGCCACTTTTTATTTATTTTACTTGCTTTGTCATTCTGTGCTGACACTTTTTACTTGCATACTCCAGGGGGGTCGGGATTCCAGGTGCAGGGCCAGGGAAATATAAAGATCACAGGTAGAAAGGAAGTGAGTTTTGCAGCCACACTGGTTTTTTTTGCCTTTCTTAGTACCTCCAGCGCCTAGTACAGTGCAAGCTTGGGCCACGGTGAGCTTGCTCAATACTTGCTGACCTGACCCAAGCCGTCAGGGCTCCTCCTTGCCCTTAAAAGCGTCTCCAGTCCCTGCCTGTCTCCGCTAGCCTCCCTCTCCTCTCCTCTCCATCCCTCCCTCCTCCTCAGCCTACCGAACCGCACCAAGACTTGACGCCTAAAACAGGGAACGAGACCAAGTGTCGCGAAACTATCGAGTTCGAGAGTGGAGATGCGGGTGGAAAGAAGGGGTGCGAAAACTAGGTTCCTCCTTCCCCTCGCTCTGTCTCTGCGCAGGGCCCGCAGCTTCCCGCTCTCTCTCTCCTCCCCTCCATCCCTAACCCGCAGCCTTTCTCACCCTACGGCTCCAGACTTCCAAACACGAACGGAGATTTTGGACCCCAAAACAAGCGGGCCAGAAGCGAGTGAGGCCGACGCACGAAAGAGGGCGCGCCGCTTCCGCTCCGGCCCCAACGCAGCGGAAGCACGTGAGCAGGAAGCGGAAGCGGCGTGCGGGCGTAGGGAGAAGCGGGCTCAGGTGAGGTGTCACGGCCCCTCTGGCCCGCGGGTCTTGTCGCCTTGCGTCTAGGGGGTGGTGGCCGGTCTTGGAGGAGGTGGCAGCCGGGTCCGGTGCAGCCTAGGCTTCCATTACGAGGCTAAATTGCAAAATTACCAGAGGTGGAAGGGGTCTCGGAGACTTTCTAGACGAAACTTCTCTTCATAGAAAAGGCTAAACAGAGGCCAGGAGCTGTGGGACAGGGACTGAGGCTCCTCGGCCGAGAGCCGCTGCCAAGACCTGATTAAAAAGGACGCAGAGAGCGATCCACCTGACCAGAGAGCCGCCGCCGCCGCCGCCGCCCCCGGAGACGAAGCTTTGCCCCAAAGGCTATTGGTTTGTTCAAATACGCATAGATCTATTAAATATAAATTGCCGGCGTTGTGTAGTTATGCTGGTTTGTTGTTTTTTTCCCCCCTGGATTTGTGTGGGCCTAGGGGTGATCAGACTTCAAGCCTGGCCTTTAACATGTAACTTGTTTTATAAGGCATCTAGAAAATGAGATAAGATTTGTAAAGTGCATCAGTGCCAGCTATTGTTATGTACCTCGCCTAAAGTTAGGCGCTTACTAAATGTTTATTAAATTTAATTGCACAGTCACTTTCTCTCTTAGAGTCCCAGGCCCCACTAAGACTATATACTAAACTAGTTGCAGATCTGCAGCAGTGGAGGGAGTTCCCAGCATCAAAAGTTTACCCATACTTTTGAGATCACATCTCTGAAGGAGAAAAATAAATAGTTGTGGGGTTTTCTTAAGCCCCGGAAATCAAGCACTCAACCAAATAACAAACAGCCCAAGAGGGGAAAGGGACTCAACATGTCTAAAACAATCAACAAGCATTTATTAAGTGTTTATCATGTGTTAATACTATGCTAAACAGTGGGAATAAAAGAAAATCCAAAATGGTCCCCCTGCCTTTAACAAACTTATATTCTAAAGGAGGAGACAACATGTTTAAAAAATAAGGCTATTTTCAATTTATATTTCAAGATACTTAAAGAATAGATAGAAGGTAACCTTAGAGGGGAAGGTTCTAGCATTGGGGAGACTGGAAAAAGACTCCTACAAAAAAGTAGCATTTGAGTATTTTGAAGGAAACCTAGGAATCTAAGAAGCAGAAATAAGGAGGGAAAACATTCCAGCATACAGCCAGTGCAAAGGCATAGAGATGGGAGATAGGGTATCCTATGCAAGGAACAGCAAGGAGAGCATTATAGTTGGGTTATAGAGTTCGTGGGTGGGAGTCAAGTCTAAGACTGGAAAAGTAAGAAGAGGTCAGATGCTGAAGGGCTTCAAGTACCGTAGGAATTTATATTTGATCCTGAAGGTCAGAGGGAGCTACCAGAGTTTAAGTGGGAGTTGTAGGTAGAAGGAAGATGACACAGTCAGACTTACTCTTTAGGAAAATCACTGGCAGCTGAATGGAGGATGGGTTGGAACTAGAAGGTTATTGCAGTAGTCCAGGCAAGAAATGATTAGGGCAGGAACTAGGATGATGGCTCTGTGATTCAAAACAAGGGAACAAATATTGGAGAAATTGTGAAGGTAGAACTGGCCAAGATGTGAAGACAGATTGGGTTTGTGGGGCAAGAATTGAGGATGATGCCAATAACGAAAGCTGAGTGGCTAAAAGAGATGGTAGAACACTCACTAGTAATAGGGAAGTTGAGAAGAGAGGTGAGTTTGGGCAAAAAGATGAGCTTTGTTTTGGATATATTACGTTTGATTTGCCTATCTTAGAAGAGATTAGAGCTGGATATACAGCTCTGGGACTCATCCATTTAGAGATGATGATGAAACCCCTGGAAGCTGATGAGATCACCAAGTGAGATAAGATAGAGGGAGCAGAGAACAGAACAGAGATTTGAGCAGATCCCCATTGTTGGTTTGACATGGATTAAGATCCAGCTGAGGAGACTACGAAGCAGTAGTCAGGTATAAAGAGAACCAAGAGAACTCTTTCTTCCCAAACCTAACTCTTTTCCTAAATTCACTATTTCTTTCAACAGCACTATCATCCTGTAGTCACTCAGGTTTTCAAATTAAGTATCATTCTCTTCATTCTCCCTTCCTTCCACATTTCCAATTAATTGCTAAATCCTGCTGTTACAACTTCTTTCATCTATTCACTTACATGGTCACTACCTTAGTTAATTTCTCCCTGCCTCAAGTCTCTTCCCCACTACAATCCAGCCTCCACACAGCTGCCAAAGTGTCTGACCACATCACTTCCCTACACAGTAAGCTGCTGGGACTCCATGGCATCTGTAAGATCAAATATAAACTCTGACATGTGAACCCTTAACAATTGGCCCCATCCTACCTTTCTGGTTTCATTACATGTCACTCCCCTTCACTCTCACTGTGGTTCATCCAGACTGTCCTTAATTAAGCTGAGCCTTTGCCATACCTGTGGACTTAACTCCCTGACCTCTGCCTCTTAGAATTTCTAGCTTCCTTCACAGCTCAGCTCAGGTGCTGCCTCCCACATGAAGCCTTTCCTGATCTTCCCTGCCTGTGCTTTCACCTAAATCATCATCTGTCCATCTTGTACAGACCTCTATATGTACATGTTTTCTCCCCTCTCAACTGTAATCTCAGGGGCTTAATAGATCAATAAACATTTAGTAAACATCTACCTAGTGCCAGGTACTGTGCTAACTACTGGAGATACAAAAACAAAAAATAGTCCCTTCCCTCAAGGGAAGGACAGAATGCCAAAGGAAGCTGAAGAGGAGGGTGGACTAGGGAGGTAGCTGAGGCAGGGTGGAAGGAGTGGATATGATAGAGATAAAAACCAGAGAGTGCCATAGAGTGGTGAGCCAGGTGGGAAATGGTAAATGTCTATTGATAAGCAAAAAGAACTTAGGAGACCCAAAGAGTTTTAGTCAGGAATACTGATTATAATTTCCATTTTGGATATGGGCCAGTAGGAGTATTCAGAGGTTAAAGCAGTATCTATTATTAGCATAGATCTATTTGTTCAGTACCATCCTTAACAAATATTCATTGCCATACCTATGGTTTAAGTCATCATTAGGCCTTAGGGAGGGGCACAAAAGAGGCTTATAGTCTAGTTGGAGAGACGAAACATATACGTAACAAGATAATAGTAATAATACCTGGTAGAATATACTAAATAACAGTTGACATTTCTGTAAGATTTTAAAATTTACAAAGTGCTTTATGTTCATTATCTCATTTGAACTTCAACAACCCTGTGAGATGAGTTTAAACAGTGATTTTCCCCATGGCTTTTCCTAGGATTACACAGCCAATGTTTCTCAGAAACAGGATTTGAATCCAGGTCTTTCTGACTCCAAATACAGTAATAACTACTAAACCAGCTTCCTCTCTGAATGCTAAAGCACTAATGATAATTAGAGGTTCAGGAGTACAAAAGAGGAAGTGGCTGTTGGGTCAGGGTCAAGCTTTAAGAAGGCAGTGGGATTTGAATTGGACCTTGAAGAGAAGGGGGTAGGAGATCAAGTCAAACAGACATACAATGTGGTTTACATTTCCATTTCCTGTATTTGTGATTTCAGATCTGAGTCTCACCTACTTTCTGCATGTTGCTATCTTGTGTACGCTTGGTTTCCCAGAAGTTCCAAGCTCCCCAGTCATTGATCAGCAGAAAGTTCCAGGCTCTGCAATTCTTGGTCAGCAGTCCTTCACGTCCTTTCATGGATCTGAAAACTCTTGTTTCATCATTGAATGACTTTGCCTCACTCTCATTAGCTGAAAACTGGGACAATGTTGGATTATTGGTAGAGCCAAGCCCACCCCATACTGTGAAGACACTTTTGCTAACAAATGACCTAACCGAGGAAGTGATGCAGGAGGCGCTCCAAATGAAAACAGATCTCATTCTCTCCTATCATCCGCCTATTTTCCGACCACTCAAGCATGTAACTTGGAAAACGTGGAAGGAGCGTCTGGTGATCCAGGCTTTAGAGAACAGAGTTGGTATCTACTCTCCACATACTGCCTATGATGCTTCACCCCAAGGAGTCAACAACTGGTTAGCAAAAGGGCTGGGTAAGAATTTTCTCATTTCTTGAAATTTTAAATTTCCCTTTGCAAACCTCTAAAACTTGAGAGGTCCTTTCTAGTTGTAACTTCCCTTACAACTTGACTGCTTTTGACAGTTGCAGGAAAAAGACATTTTGATCATTTTAAATCTTTTAAAAAATTTGGTAATGGGGGTGCAGCTAGGTGGTGCAGTGGATAGAGCACCAGCCCTGGAATCAGAAAGACTTGAGTTCAAATCCGGCCTCAGACACTTGACACTTACTAGCTGTGTGACCCTGGGCAAGTCACTTAACCTCGATTGCCTGACCAAAAAGAAAAAAAAAACCGGTAACATAACATACCAGTTGAATTGCACTTAAAAATGGAAAAAAAAATTGTCCCTAATAAAGCAATGACTTGAATAAAAAAACCTACATAAATCAGTTAACAAGTATTTATCGAGTGCTTTGCTAGACATTGTGGGAGAATGCAACAATTTCAACCCCACCCTGAAGAGGTAAAGACGATAGTATCTCTACTTTTAAGTTGACTCCCTTATTTAATGTTTGATTTTTCTAGTAGCTTAAGGTAGTTATTCTGAAATTATGGTCTGCATTAGGACAACCAGACTTCCCACAGTTACTTGGAACTTAAATCCTTGTATACCAGGGAATAATTCTAATGAGTGACCTAACAAGTGGGCAATTTCGAAGATTGATTCAAAGCCTTGTTTAAATTAGATTTGTAGAAAATTTTTCCTTTTTTTCCAGATATTTCTGCTCTTCAAAGGCCTTCTGAAAATGACTATGATTTTTAATATCTCTCTGACTCCCCAACTTAATGTATGTTATTTACTGGTATTTACATTAAAATTTATTAATTGCCCCTATATTCTTTGCCTCTCTTGGTTCATACTTTAGTATGAAGCATTTAAGGGCTCCATGATTTTCCTGATACTTATATTTCAGTTACATGATTTTACCACCTCAACCAACTGAGATCACAACCACTCTAAACTTTGTAGATAATTTTTAAGAGTTGCTGTAGCTAGAGAATTCATTTCCCTATAGCCAACCTGGTGATGAGCTCCTCTGAATTTAGCTGAACAGATCCTTAGACATACAGGGCAATAGTCCATCCATCATTCAGTCTCTCCAGGTTGGGAGGACCTATCAGAGCCTTCACTCCTTTGAGGATGCGCCATACCAAGATGAGCCATTGCAGGAAGACATTAATGGCAGGTCTTTGCTTTTGTAAATGTAATAAGACTCTCCCTATGTTCTGCACTTTTTTTTAGGAGGTTGTACCTCTCTTCCAATACATCCATCAAAAGCTCCCAGCTTCCCAACAATAGGAACCCATCGAGTGGAGTTTAATATAAATGACACCCCAAGCATGGACAAATTCATGTCTGCAGTGAAAGAGATACCAGATGTTTCAATAACTACCTTCTCTGCTAGGTATTATATTTCTTTATTTATTTTTTATTTTTTCAGGATATCTGTGGCACTTATTAATTTATAGTTTTAAAATAAATCATTTCCTCTTGGATAGGATGATTACACATGTATCTAATTTTCCTGAGGGTCTAAGAGGAATAGACTATAGAATGACTCCAAAATATAGACCATGAAATTTAATAAAGATCACCATGTTTTCTGCTTTGCATTCCCAAGGATTTAAAACCTTTAAATATCACCACATACAGGTCTGTTTTGCTAGGGCCCAGGAATTCTTTCTGATTCTGTATTGTACCACTTTCAAAATGTTTCCTTCCACAGCCAGATTTCCTGCTGGGCATTTTACATTGCAGAAGCCAACTTAGTATATTGAAAGCATCACAAAAAATAACAAGGTATGCCAAGCGATGAGCCATAGATACATTTGTATAAAAAGCAGTATAATGATTGCCTGTGTACTCTGAGAAATGTTAAGACACACATTATGGTTTCTTAAAAAGACTGAAGCCCATACCATGTCACCACTAAAAAGTGACCTTTTGGATAGTAGCTTTTAAGTAGGAAAGTTCCTTATTATACTCATTTGAACATTAAATCCTCAGGGTGGGGGAAGGAAGAAGAGAGGACTATTATTATTGTCCAGGAATAACTTGTAACAATTTCAACCCTTTGAATGCCTGCTCTTTATGGGGCTTTGGATAGGAAAGCCTAACTATCTAATCCCTACAATCACTTCAAGGAATATCCTCTGACACATTGAAATACGACGTAGAAAACGCAAATTTGCATGATACTTAAAGTGACAATTAGATTCATTTCAGAGAAGTGGTTTTCTAGTTTTTCCTTACTGTAAACTTCTGGACAACTTTTTCTAAAAGTCATTGCTTCCAGTTGGCCCATTTTCACATTGCTTTTTGCTCATGAATTATGCTTTCATGGACCCCTACTAAAGACTTTCTGGTTTCTAGAAAATAGTTAAGATTCTTTGATAGTGACTATTTTTTTAATTTATTGATTTTTGGGGGGAGTTTTAACCTTACCTACATTCCCGATATGTCCTGCCCATCTGAAACGGTCATCCTATATAGCAGAGAATTTCTTAAAAGTTCAATAAAACTACCCAACTCATTGAAAAAAGTCTGAAATTATAGGTAGTATTACATATCCATAGCCTTCTGACTATTTAAAGAAGGTGAGAGGTGCCTGATGAAGATTATTTTTAAAAATTAAAGCCAGTCTTTTTTTCTTTCTTTTTTTAATTCTTTGTTATAATGGCTTGCTAGTAGGAAAGGGGAGGGAAAGATTTGGAAATGAAATTATCAATAAAAAAAATTTTAAGTGAAAGAAAGCCAATGGGTTGAAAAAATAAAAACTACTGGCAGTCTCTCCCTCTATGTTCTCTTACTTAACATTAATAAACCAATAAGTAGTTATTTTGCACCTATGCTATGTGCCATGCACTGTATAGGCACAAGAGCCTAAAAGAGCTAATAGTGTTCTAGTGGGGAAAGATTCACATTCACAGATATATTACAGAATGATGTATTATAACATCACAGGACATATTTTAAAAACAAAGTCCCTGCAGTGCTTGGAGTGGGGTGTAGGGAGCACTGCCACTTGTGGAATCAGGATAAGGCTTTTGAAGGAGGGGTCAGTTTGAGCTAAAGTGAAGGAAAATAAGAGGTGGAGACAAGGGCATGGGGATACCACAAGCAAAAGCATGGGGACAGGAAATGGATTGATTCTTGGGAACAGCAAGAAAGTCAGTGTGAAAATTAAGAGTTTCTGGTCGAGAAGGAATCATGTGCTGTTCACAGGGCAAGATAGGCTTGAGCCTATTGTAAATGGATTTAAATTCCAAACTGAGAAGTTTGTATTTCAGCCTAAAGACAAGGGGGAGCCACTAAAGCTTCTGTAGCAGAGGAGTAATAGTGATCAGGTCTGTGCTTACACTGTGCTTACACTGCACTTATCTGACAGTGGTACAAAGGATGGATTGAAAGGGGGAAAGACTGGATGCAGGAAGACCAGATTGCATGCAAGAAATCACATTGGTTAGCACTTTAAGGTTTATTAAGCTATTTCTTCACACAAGGACCAAGTTATATACAGAGATGCTAGGGCAGAGGGGATCATTGAACTTGGATAGGAAAAAAAAATTACATTTATTTTCACTAACCTTTGAATCCAATATACTTTATGTGTTTAAAAACATTCCAGAAAGGTGTCTGTAGGCTTCACCAGGCTGCCTAAAGGATCCAGGGCACAAAAACAGTTAAGAAACACTGTTTTAGGGAATTTTATTTTAGAAATAATTGAGACTTAACGTGGACTTACTGAATGCTTGGTTGTTTATGAACCTAAAATAATTTCCTGAGATAATTTCTTCATGAGTGGTATTGTCATTCAGGACGTGCAGTGCATTGTCTTCTAAGAATCTAGTTTTGAAATTAAAGTATATATTTAATGTATGTTTATCTTAAACTTTGGGGGTGTTTTTCCCCCTAGGAATGATGGAGAAGAACAAATACGAGTCAGTTTGAACTGTACCCAGAAAGCATTGCTACGAGTGGTGGCTTTTCTCTCTGAAAATAGTCATCTTTATCAGAAGACTGAGATCCTGTCACTGGAGAAAGTAATAAAAATTTATGTTCTTTTCTTTCATTTCAAAGTTTTGGTTGATGACTTTTAATACAAACAGAAATTGTTGTAGTAACGGGTTATTAGTTAACTAGGATTTAAGTTTCTAAGAGACAAAATAGCAGTAATATGAGCTTCCCTTTTTTCCTCATTAATGTTTTAATTGAGTTGAATGACAATCAAGAACTTTATCCTCATCTGTACTACTATACTCACTATGATGAATATATTTACTTTTAGCCTTCATAAACAAAAAAGCTACTTCATATTTACAAGCAAAAATAAGCATCAAAATATATTCATGTTTGTCATTAAGTAACTAATAATCCAAGGCCAGGACAAACATTAACACCAGTTCTTATAGATGGCACCTCATTTCCTGAATCTGCAGAGTGATAGATATGAAGAAGGTGGAAGGAAAACACAAAAGGGAAGCTTGTGTATTAGACTGTGTTAGAAAAGGGAAAATATATACTTCACAAATATATTTTGAAATACGGATATACATAAGCACTAACAATTCCTTCTGTAAAAATATAATTTTCTTTCTGGAAAATATGTTCAAAGAGGGAGACATCCTAAGAATGTACCTTAATAGTGACCTGAGCACCTGCAGCCTTTGAAAATTTTGTTTCTCTTCAGCCCCTGCTTCTGAATACTGGGATGGGAAGATTATGCACACTGGCTGAATCTGTCTCCTTGGCAACCGTAATCGAACGAATCAAAGGTCACCTAAAACTACCCCATGTCCGCCTAGCTCTTGGAATAGGGAAGACTTTAGGTAAACAACACGTACATTTCGTTATGCCAGTTTGTTCACTAGGAAAATCACTCAATCGATAATTTCTCTGGGGGTAACGTTAAAACTCTTGGATAGATTCATCCTAGTAAAAAAAAAAAATGAAAGACTCAGTAGCAGCTCATGAGTGATGATTTTTAAAATAAAACAAGTGATTAGTTAAAATAAATCTTAATGGTTCTGGATATACCTTAGTGAAATGATACTGGTGATCTAACCTAGTCTGTGATTCTTTATGCTGACTTTTCCTCTCTTGGCTTCTCCCAGGACTTTTGGGAACCAAACAGTTACACTGAAGTAGGCATAAGAAAATTCTGCCTTAAATGAATTGTAGGTTAAACTCATCCACAAGAAACAATTAAAGAACTTTCATCCTGAGGCTCAGTGAGTGGATTTTTGGATTATAGATTCTTGGCATTTTAGTTTACTTAAGAGAATTCTTGGTGGAGATTAAATATTAAAAGAAAACATGGCCAAACCTAACAAAAAACCCCTATTCTAGGCTGCAAAGTTGTGTATAATTAACAGTTTAAAGTAAAACCAACTTGGGACAATTTTTTAAAAAGTTTTTTCCAGTTAAGTATTTATTCTGGTTCTATTCACTTTCCTCTGTATCAATTAATAACAGGTTTTCTCAGGTTTCCTTGCAACCATCCCCTATATCATTTCTTATGCCACACACTAGTCCTCCATTTCATCCATAATTTGTTCAACCATTCCCCAGTTGATTCATACCCCTATAGATTCCAATTCTTTGCTACTCCAAAAGAGCTACTGCAAATGTTTTAGTACAGATGAGTATTCCTCCCTTTTCTTTAGGGAACAGACTAAGGGAATAGTATCATTAATACTGAGTCAGAGTATACAGTGTAGTAACTTGCCATACAGTTCCTGATTGCTTTCCAGAATGGCTGCACTAAATATGCCTGTTTTCCCTCAGCCCCTCCAATATGTGTCATTTTCCCCTTTTTTTGGTCAACTTTGCCAATCCAGTGGGTGTGAAGTAAAACCTCAGTTATTTTAATTTGTATTTCTCTAATTATTAGTGATTTGCAGCTTGTAGTTCAAATTAGTAATCTGGATTCTAGTCCCAACATCCACATTTGATTCACTGACCTCAAAGTTATCCTCCTAATGTTCTCATCTCTAAAACTAAAGTAATACTTTACATTCCTACCTTACAATTTTGTGGTAAACTTAGGAAAAATAAGTTAGATGATGTATAGTATACTAGTGCTTTGAAAATTATGGATTGCTTTACAAATATAAGGTGGTGGGGCTGTTATTAAGAGGCTTATTGTATACTGTTCTGTATGGGAGAGATTATTTCTTCTGCAGTTCTGAAGGGATAGTCTTCTGCTTTTATGAGTCCCATCATCTAAGCTCAAGGAAAATTATGCACATATATTGTTTAATTTTATCCAGGTTTTTATCAAAACCAAAATTTCTTTATTATTGGGGAGATCAAGAGATACACTACACTGCATTTGGATTCACAGTTAGTGCTAAGCTTATTATTAAGACAAAAGTGATCATTTGTTTTTTATTTGCTGTTTCTTAAAGAATCGCAAGTCAAAGTAGTAGCTTTGTGTGCTGGTTCTGGGAGCAGTGTCCTTCAGGGTGTGGAAGCAGATCTTTACCTTACAGGTATGCATGGCATCCTCTGTGGGTGCTCTAATCCCTTTCTCTTCATTCTGCAACCCCCTTCTTCCCCCATCTAGGCCTTAAAATAAATAGTTCAGAATAGCTTGTTTTACAAAAGGAACTGCACTCAAACTGGCAGGAGAGCTAATGTTTCTTGTGGAAGGAAGAAACCATCTAAACATTTATCATTAGAAAATGATCACTCACTAGAATTGAGTGTCAGTATTTTAAGACCTTTGATGTACAAGGCCCATTATGGAATCACTAGTCTCTTAGACAGGAGCAAACCATCTTCAGGAGACAAGTCTAGCACTTCTTGAAACCCCCCCAGCTGCCCTCCTGCCTTTGAGTTTAGGGGTAAGAATTTAAAGAAATCCATTGTCCAAAACTCAGTGCTGCCAGCTGCCTTCTGTTTTGTCCATGGGGTTTGGAGAGAGTCATTTTAAAGGAGTATTGGATAGTATGGGGTGGAACTGGCCCAGTGAAAAGTCCAGATTGGAAGGTAGAAGAGTGCAGCAGAGAAGAGGAACTGAAGGTCAGGGAGATGATGTCATCACTGAAGCTATCACGTCTTGGTATTTATGCCACAGAAACGAAGAAATTATCCTATGTAGCCAAGAGGCTTGAGTTTCCCCATTCCATACCCAGAAGCTCAGTAACACCTTCATAAATACTCCCATCAAGTTTTATATCACATAAGATAACAAGATTCTCTGCAGCTCTCTTCTCTTGTTAATTTCTGTCCATTCTGTGTGTCTCTTGTGTGCTACGTGTGTCATCTCCTCCAGTAGAATGTAAGTTCTATGTAATATTCTAATGGAAGTCAGGGACTGTTTTTGTTTTTCTTTATGGTCTTAGTGCCTTGTACATAATGCTTGTTCGTTGATTTTTTTTTTTTTTAAAGAACTTGGCTTTAAAAATATTTAGCAATAATGCCATCAATGGCCACAAGATGGGGATATTGTTCTCAAGTCAGTTTTGACCAGTTTTTTCTTTTCTCTCCTTAACTAAATTAGCAGCTGTAATGTTTAGAGGTAGAAGGATCTTAAGAGATCATTTCATTCAAATCTGATTTGTCCATTATCTCTCCCTGTTCCTCTTACTGCATTTTCCATTAAGCAGGTATTTGATATGAAAGACATAATCCTGTTTTGGTAGCTGTCTATTTCCTTTTGAGCCTCTTTTTTGTTTCTCTCTCCTGTATTCCTCTTCCTTAACTTCACATTTAGGGGCAGACCTCACACCAGCACCTTGCTCAGGTTCGATTAGATATGACAGTCATGAGTCATTGATCAGTTTTAAAAAGGAAATTTTCTTTGCCCTAACACAAGGAAATGTAATAGGAATACCGTGACACTAAAAATTCTATAGATACAGCCTCTCTCCCCCCATCTCTATGTGGAAGTACATTTTGTCAGTTGAGTAGGGTATAGTTACTCCCATGGTTTTCAGGCATCCATAATTTGGAGGGGCCCTGATTCCACACGGAACTTTTAATATCATAGGTGACCACAAAACTGCTCAAGGGAGACAGGGATTAATCGGGACAGCTTTGTTGCCTTTTATGGAAAACTAATCCCTGTTTTGGAGAAATAGGGGAACCCTGGTCCTAATACAACATGGTATAGCATTGAAGGAGTTCAGTGTTCTCAATTTTAAAAGTACATATGGGAAAAGTATATAGGGTTTTCTCACTGAGTAAATATCAAACAGCTACAATGTATAAGGCACAATGAAGAATACAAATAACATAAAATGTACCTTCTCCCACCCCCTCCACATACTTTACATTGTAATCTAAAAGGGATGTATAGAAGGAAAACTATACTGCACTCTGCGTTTTAGGCCCAAATCTGCCTGGCAGAAACAGTTTTTATTAGTTTATGATTATTCTGACTCTAAGCATTTTTTTCTACAAGGAGAAATGTCCAAACTGAGTTTCCTTATGTTTTCTGACATCTCTCCAAAGCAATTCATTTTGAAGTCACATTTTATAGCATTCTTGAACACTTGGAATTATTCCCACCATTCACTGCCTCCTTCACTCTTGCACACAGGCTATTCAGTGAAGGCGGAGAAAATCATGAAACCATTCTAACTGGGTTCACTACAAATCTGTGTTACACCTCAACTGGGTATCTCCCATGTCAACTCACTATCCCACTTTCCACAGTGGCTCTTTGAGAACTTTTCATCCTCCTCAAACGGCCCATGGCACCTCCTTCCCCACTCTTTATCTCACTTGTTTTCAATATCTTCCCCTCTACTGGCTTCTTCCATACTGCCTACAAAAACACTCATGTCTCTTCCATCCTTAAAAAACCCTTCATTTGATTCTTCCGTCTCTGCTAACTCTCTTCCTATATCTCTTCTGCCCTTTGTGGCTTAACTCCTTGAAAAGGCCATCTACAGTAGGAGCCTCCATTTTTTCTCCTCTCACTCTCCTTAACCCCTGACATTTGCCTTCCAACATCATTTCATCAAAATTGTTATCTATAAAGTTACCAGTGACCTCTTAATGGCCAAATTCAGTTGCCATTTCTCAATCTTCATTCTTTTTGACCTCTCTGTAGCCTTTGAATCTATAGATCACCCTTTTCTCCTTTCTACTCCCTTCTTTCTAAATTTTTGGGACACCACTTTCTCCTGGTTCTCTTCCTACCTGTTTGACTGTTTTTTCTTGGTTTCCTTTGCTGGACCCAAGTCACTCCCACTAACCACGAGTGACCCACAAGGCCAAGTCCTGGGCCCACTTCTCTTCTCCCTCTATATACACCCGTTTGTCTCATCAGTTTCCATGGATTAGAGACAAAGATAGAGATAACATCTCTAAGCTAATGACTTTCAGATCTACCTTTCCGGGACCTAACCTAATATCTATGCTGACCTTCAGTCTCTCATCTCCAACTACCTTTAAAACATTTCATACTGGATGTCCGGTAGCCATCTTAAACTCAACATGTCCAAAACTGAACTCATTTCCCTCCTAAAGCTTCCTGTCTTCCAAACTTCTTACACTATTATCATTCCAGTCATTAGGCTCCTAACCTAGGAGTCATCTTTGACTCCTCACCATCTCTCACCCCTATATCCAATCTATTGCCAATCCTGTTGATTTCACCTTTGCCACACTCTTGAATACACCCCCTTCTTTCGTCTGACACTGCTACCACCCTGGTACAGGACATTTGACCTCATAGGTGGACTACTGCAGTAGCCTTCAGTCGGTTGGCCTGCTACAAACCTTTTCTCTGCTTCAGTCCATCCTCCATTTAGCCACTGAAGTGATTTTCCTAAAGTACAGGTTTCTAACCATATCATCCCCTCCCCTCCAATAAACTCCAGGATCAAATACAAAATCCTCTATTTCACATTGAAAGTCTTTCATAACCTAGTTCCCTCCTACCTTTCCAGTCTTCTTACATCCCCCTGGTACTCTCTGATCCAGCGACTCTGGCCTCCTGGCCATTGCACGAACAAGATATTCCATCTCTCAGCTCCAGGCGTTCTCTCTAGCTGTCTCCCATGCCCTTCCTCAGCTCCACCTACTGGCTTCCTTTATATTCCAACTAAAATCTCACCTTCTGTAGGAAGCCTTTTCCAACTACTTTTCATTCTAATGCCTTCCCTTTATTATTTTTTTCCTCTATATAGCTTGTTTGGACATACTTATTTGCACGTTGTCTCCCCCAGTAGATTGTAAGGTCCTTGAGAGGAGAACTGTCTTTTGAATGTTTTTTGTTGTTGTTGTTTTTTTTCTGTGTGTATGTGGCAATTGGAGTTAAGTGACTTGCCAGGGTCACACAGCTACTGAGTGTCATGTGTCTTGAGGCCAGATTTGAACTCAGGTCCTCCTGACTCCAGGTCCTGTGCTCTATCAACTGTACCACCTAGCTGCCCCAAAAGGTCTCCTTTCTAGCTAGTCAAAGAGACATCTTTCTTCATCCCTTCCAGGCACGGGGAAACAGGGAGTGCTCCTAGGTGGATCTTCAAAGCTCCTTCAGGGCTTTGGGAAAATGCTACCATGTAGCTTAAAAGTAGAAGAGGAAATAGTGTTTGGAGTTCAGAATTCAGAAACATTAATTTTGGTTTCAGGGTGGGTGGGTAAATGAAAAAGTGATGAAATTAGGAAGGTTGCATGTAAAAGGTAGCATAAGGGGCTGCCTAGGTAAAGATTGGGAGGAATGGCCTACCCCATAGAGGGAGCAGCTTAAACTAAAATAGACATGATACAGAAGTGGAGATGTAGTGAGCAGTCACTTCGTGCCTGGATCAGTCAATATAGACAATTTTTATTTCTGCTGTGAAAAGCAATGAATAAATTCACCTTCAGATCTCAAAAGTATGTAATAAGGAATGAAGATAATCGGTTACAGTTAGATGAGATAATTAGATGAACTAGATATAGATAGGTACAGACACATAATTATACACAGGGATGGATGGGCTTACAGTAAAACAAGTATCCTGCCTGTGTGGTTCAGAAAAGCTCTCAGTACTACAAGGATGGGCTAGAGCAGAGAAGTATGCTCCTGCCTGTGTGGTACTGGAGGGACAACACTCCAGTAGTTTCCAAGGTGATAGGCATCTCCCTTCTGTGCTGATGGTCTCTTAGTCTCTTAGTCCCTCCAGACCAACTGAAGATGAAGTTAGGAGTTAAAGGCCAGGCAGGGCACAACACTGATTAAGGACTTGCTCTGTGTGGGCTTATCAGCTTCCCCAAGCCACTGTGGGCCTGTGTTTTATCTCCTGAAGGAAGCTGTAACAGTTTCCAGTGGATCCTTCCATGCTTTGCAATTTGCCAATTTGTGCTGCTGTGGAATGATCCAAAGGTTGTCCGCTTGGCCCTTAAGTATTTGTTTCACCTGGGTTATCTTTCCTTTTGACAGGTGAGATGTCACACCATGATGTCCTTGATGCTGCTGCCCAAGGGATAAATGTCATTCTTTGTGAACATAGCAACACCGAACGAGGCTTCCTGTCAGAACTTAAAGACACACTGGCAGCCCACCTAGAGAATAAGGTCAACATTATCTTGTCAGAGAAAGACAGAGACCCTCTTCAGGTGGTATGAAATAGCCCAGGACCATGTGGGGTACTGACTCTGTAAATCCATTGAATCCTAAAGAGGTTGCACTGAGGAACAAAAAGTGGTCTACCCTATAAAGGTTCCTTTTGGGATGGTCTGATGAACTGGCTAAATGAAGACTAATGTAACTGCTTTATTAAAACAAAGGATGTTTGCCACAAACCCTAATAAAGAATGTGGAAATTAGCTTCTGAAAGCATTATTGGAAGGTAGCTTCAAGTCATCTAATACTTTGCTTCATTGACATTTCTCTCAGTGTTAGCTTATATTTTACTTAAAATATTCTATACTACACTACTGTAAACATAAGCTCAGTCATCACTGAGGAAATTAAAATTATTTTATATTAATAATTGATTCTATTCTGTAATTAACTCTGTTCCCCATTTTGTCAAGCCACATTTCTCAATTCTGGAGTTAAGCTAGAAACGGTGTTTCTAGTCCAAATTGGTTTAAAGGTGTGGTTGAAAGGGAGGGAACGTTATCACTCATGTAGTTAGCTTCTAGGACATCTGATTGTTGTCTGTAAGCTCCAACCAGCTTAAGCCGCTGTCATCCCTCAAAAGACAAGTCATCAGGTCTTGCCTGTCCTTGTGCAGTTAGGGTAGGCTTGACCTCCACCAAGGGGGTATCAAAGTGCGTGGTTCTGGTCCCCTAACCAAGACTACAAGAGGCAACTGAGTTTTATAAAACAGTATTCCTTAATTGTCACAGACAGTTGTGATTAGCCACACAAGAATGCCAACCCACTCCCCACCACTCCCAACCCTTCCCATGTGTCAAAAAAGAGGATTCCATCCCATTGGGGTTGCTGGCCTTACTGAGGTGGTCACTGACTTATTTTGTTAACATTTATGCGTCACTATTAATAAATTGCCACCTTCTATAGTTTTTGTCATGTCTACATTTGAGATTTTCTTGGCAGAAATAGTAGAGTGGTTTGCCATTCCCTTCTCCAGCTCATTTTACAGATGAGGAAACCGAGGCAAATAAGGTTAAGTGATTTGTCCAGGTCACACAGCTAGTAAGTATCTGAGGCCGGATTTGAAGTCTGGAAGATGAGTCTTACTGACTCCACGCCCAGCACTGTATTTGCTGCACCATCTAGCTGCCCTTCTACAGTAAGCCTTTCCTAATCCCCACAAAAAGCCCAGCAAGCTCAAGCTATGGGCAGACTTTCTTCCCCTACTTCTTCCCTATTGCCCATATTCCAACAGGCAGTGTACATCCCTGTCTTGCTAGATTCTAATTCCTGCCCTCATCCCTGCCAGGATTATCTTAGAGCCCAGCATCATTCTGAACCACTCCTCCTTTCCTGTAGTTGTTGGAGACTTGGCTTCTCACACTGATTGGATGACAGGGGAAGGGAAGTCACCAATTACAATATTGAGGGTAAGATGGTGGACCACTGGGATTTTACATCTGCCCTAATATGGCTCTCTCAAGTCTAGCAGACCTACTATCTGTCTGTCTTGAAGCTGAATCTCCTTTATGTCACCTCCACCCATTAAAAGTGAATTCCTTGGAAAGGGTTTTTTTCTTTGTAACGCAACACTTAGCACAGTGCATGACACTATTTTCTGAGAAACAGGCTGCTTAATAGATCTAGAGGAAGTCTCAACAACTGTACTGACTGGATCCATTATAAATTCATGTTATCCAGCTTCAACTGAGCCTGAGCCCTCTTTGTAGCAAGGCTGACCTTTTGTTACTCCCAAACTGATTCCCTATCTCAGTCCCCAGAGAAACTCTTCCAAATATTCATTCCTCTCTCCCTCCTCCCTCAGCTGAAGAACCTAACTCAAATGGCAAAAGAGGTCCAAAAAGCCAATGAGGAGAAGAATGCCCTAAAAAGCAAAACTGGCCAAATGGAAAAGGAAGTCCAAAAGATTACTGAAGAAAATACTTCCTTAAAAATTAGAATAGAGCAACTGGAAGCTAGTGACTTTATGAGAAATCAAGATACTGTAAAACAAATCCAAAAGAATGAAAAATTAGAAAACAATGTGAAATATCTCATTGGAAAAACAACTCACCTGGAAAATAGATCCAGGAGAGAGAATTTAAAAATTATTGGACTCTCTGAAAGCCATGATCAAAAAAAGAGCCTAGACATCATCTTTCAAGAAATTATCAAGGAAAACTGCCCTGATATTTTAGAACCAGAGGGCAAAATAGAAATTGAAAGAATCCACTGATCACCTCCTGAAAGAGATCCCCAAAGGAAAACTCCTAGGAATGCTGTAGCCAAATTCCAGAATTCCCAGGTCAAGGAGAAAATATTACAAGTAGCCAGAAAGAAACAATTCAAGTATTGTGGAAACACAATCAGGATAACACAAGATTTAGCTGCTTCTACATTAAGGGACTGCAGGGTATGGAATATAATATTCCAGACAGCAACAGAGATAGGATTACAACCAAGAATCACCTACCCAGCAAAACTGAGTATAATCCTTTGGGGAAAAAATGGTCATTCAGTGAAATAGAAAATTTGACTTTCCAATACAAGACTCAAGTGAAAAATGAAGAGGTAAACAGGAAAGAGAAATCATAACAGACTTATTAAGGTTGAACTGTTTACATTCCTGCATGGAAAGATGATATTTGTAACTCATGAGACCTTTGTCAGTATTAGGGTAGTTGGAGGGGGAAAAATTATATGTATGTATAGATAGACAGATAGAGGGCACAGGGTGAGTTGAAGATGAAGGGGTCATACCTGGAGAATAAAATTAAGGGGTGAGAGAGGATTATACTAGGAGAAGGAGAAAGGGAAAGGTAGAACAGGATAAATTATCTCACAAAAAAACAGAAAACGCTCTTACAGTGGTGGGGAACCAGGGGAAAGTGACAGGAAATGAGTGAATCTTATTCTCATAGGATTTGACTTAAGGAGGGTATAACATACACACTCAATTGGGTATGGAAATCTCTTTCCCTACAGGAAAATAGGAAGGGATGGGGACAAGAGAGTAGGGGGATAATAGAGAGGAGGGCAGATTGAGAAGGGGGGTAATCAGAATCAAATACTTCTGAGAAGGGACAGGGTCAAAAGAAAGAATAGAATAAATGGGGGGGGGTGGGATAGGATTAAGGGAACTAGAGTTAGTTTTTCACAGCATGTCTACTATGGAAATGTTTTGCATAACTGCACAAGTATAGCCTATATTGAGTTGCTTGCCTTTTCAATGAGGGTGGGTGAGGAGGGAGGAAGGGAGAAAATTTGGAACCCAAAGGTTAAAAAAACATTTAAAAAAAATGTTTTCACATGCAGCTGAGAAATAATACAGGAAATGGGGTACAGAAATCTATCCTGCCCTATAGGAAAATAGAAGGGGAAGGGGGGGAGAGATAGCAGGGAAAGCAGACCAGGGGAAGGGGTATTCAGAATGCATGCCATCTTGGGGTGGGGGGAGGGGCTAGATGGGGTGAAAATTTGGAACTCAAAATCTTGTGGAAGTGAATGTTGAAAACTAAAAATAAAAAAAGAAATTTTTAAAAAAAGGGGTTGCCTTGCAGCAGTAAAGGCCCAATTGAGGTCATAAAACATGAGTTTATAGTAAACCTAGTCAACATGGTTTCATGATTTTCCTTGGCTTCATTCAACAGCATGTATATAGGTGCAAAGATAGTGGATGGAGTAAGTTATCCAAGGCTGAGACTTAGAAGGGTAAAATCAGTGATAAGATAGGGGGCAAGGTACTCAAGAGCACAGTGTGGAGTTGAACTAGTTCACCAAGGGGTCAGAATGGAGAATGTGGCTAGTTCAAGGATGATGGCCTGGAATTGAACTGAGAGGTTTAGGGATTGGGGGTCAGAGTAAGGAAAAAGAACAGGATTTAAGTGGCAATGCAGAGGAAAAGGTGGAATGACAATAGATTTTTATAAGATAAGAGAATTTCAGAATTCATGAACATAAAAGTGATACATTTGTGGGTGACAGCAAGATCAATAGCATGACACTCTTAGTGTATAGCTGAGGTAGGGTACAGAAGTAACTTAGATGAAATGAGTAAGTTGAAGAACTGTGAGTTAAGGATGTTTAAGATAGTACAGATATGTACGTTTAAGTCCCTTCGTATAAGGGAAGGAGGAGAAAAGGAAGACTGTGAGCTAGGCACTGAATTCTTTGAACAATTTTTAATTGCTTTGTGGTGGTTGTTCTTTTTATATGTATTATTGTAATCATTGTGAATGTGGTTTTCTTGGCTTTATTTACCTCATTTTACATCAAATCTTCCCATGGTTCTCTTTATTCAAAATCTTACAGCACAATAATATTCCATTACGTTCATGTACCACAATTTATTTAGCCACTCCCCCACCAGTTATATAGTATTTATCCCCCCCCCAAAAAAAGAGTATAAATATTCTGGTGTATATGGAACCTTTATTTTCATCAATAACTTCTTTAGGTTATATATTCAGCAATGGAGTCTCTAAGGGCAACTAGGTGGTGCAGTGGATAGAGCAGTGGGACTGGAATCAGGAAGATTCTTCTTCCTAGGTTCAAAGCTGGCCTCAGACACTTACTAGTTCTGTGACCCTGGGCAAGTCACTTAATCCTATTTGCCTTAGTTTCCTCATCTGTAAAATAAGCTGGAAAAGCTAATGGCAAACAAGTCCAGTATCTTTGCTAAAAAAAAAAAAATCCCAAATGGGGTCACAAAGAGTTGAACACAGCTGAAAAACAAATGAACAACAACAAAGGGGTCTTTGAATTAAAGGGTAGAGGCATTGCAAATTGCTTTCCAGAATGGTTGTACTAATTCATAGTTCTGCCAACAATGCATTAGTTTGCCTATCTTTCCATAACCCCTCCAACCTTAGCTTTCCCCTTTTATCTGCATCAATTTGCTGAATGTTGGGTGATACTCCATAGTTGTTTTTATTTGTATTTCTCTTATGATTAGTGATTTGGAATATTCTTACATATGGTTGTTAATAGCTTGTGATTCTTCTTTTGGGAACTGTCTATTCAGATCCTTTGACCACTTATCCATAAGGAATGGTTTTTATTCATATATATCTTCGTTGAATGCATATATACATACATACGTACATATACATACATATATATACACATACACACATATGTGTGTGTATCTCCACACACAGCTAGTAAGTGTCTAAATGTCTGAGGCCGGATTTGAACTCAGGAAGATATCATACACACACACACA